CCTGCTCCCATTAATGACTTCTGTATATCATAGAAAACAAAAATAGAGCAACTCAAAAATAGAAAAAGTGATGATATAATTACAGAAAAGGCAAAATTTCTGGGATAGAGGAGTCCAGAAAATACAAGAACAACAAAATAAATCCACTGTCAATGGACAATGCTTTTTATACTCAACTTTTGAGGACTGAAGCAGCAGTACAGTGGGCAGGGTTCCCGCCTTGCACATGTAACCTGAGCTCACCCTGGCACCACATGATTCTCTGAGCACTGCCAAGAGTGACCCGTTAGTTCAGAGCCAGGCATCAGCCCTGAACACAGTCAGATGTGACCCCAAAATAACAACAACAACAACAATGAAAACTCAGTTTCTTAAACAACCACGAGGAATAAACACAGCATTTTCACTGATAACAAGTAGTTTCAGTATCGAACACACCCCCCACTTCCCATGCAGTATGGAAGAGTGCTCCGCATGCAGGGCTGATCCAAGACCACTCCGTGTTCAGAGGTTCAAAAGTGGGGATTCAAAAGCAGAGAGACATGGTAACACTCCAGTATTTATTAAAATGTAGGCATTTTTAAAACACTAGTTTCAAATTTTCACTGCAATTAGTATAGTGGGTAAGGTGCTGCCTGGCACACGGCCAACCCGGGTTCTATCCCTGGAACACCTTTTATTCCCCGAAGGGAGCACAGAGCCAGGAGTGACAGGAGTGATCCTGAGCACAGAGCCAGGAGTTGGTAACAAGCACCACTAGGCGTGTCCCCTCAACCATCTCCCCCCAAAAAAAATCTCTTGTTGAAATTGAGCAAACACATACTGGACCCAATAAATGGTAAGTTTTACCACTGCTGTACAAAGAATTCCTTTTGAGGAGTACTGCATTCTGGGAACTGTTTTTTAAGGTAGGCTTATCAAAATTGTCACCCTCAGTCATCCAAAAAAAAAAGCTCCATATGCTTGAACTGTTTTTAGCCATATACAGTGATAACCTTCAAGGGGAAACAGAACTTTCTAAACACACAGAACAAAAACAGCCCCATCAGAGGTGGACAGAGATGGCTGTGATGGGCCATTCCAGATGCCAGAAAATGAGCCTCCTACCGGCCTTGTGGGACTCAGAACCATCTAGCTGAATGCAGAAGCAGCTCGGAGCTCCCTTCCCAGGTGCCTCGTGCTCCTGTAATCTTAGCAGCCACGAGGCTCACACGTGGCCCCCACCCCCAACGGGTTGCAGACTGGATCGGGTTCCACGGGCTTCCCAAAATACTGGCATCTGCTCTATCTCAGGCTTATGCTTTAACTCCTCTGCTGCGGAGTCTGGGCTGTGACACTGTCAGAGAGTCTCCACGTGAGTCCATGATGGAGACAGGGGTGGGAACTTGTGTATCACGGGGCCAGGTTCCACTGTCACGTTCCCTTTAGTTTAATTCAGTAATTACAGTCCGAATGCTGGGTATCAGTTTTGGCTACTTTCAAATGCTAACAACTTACCCCTCCAGCCTTCAAATCTTACCATTTCAAACTCAACCTGGGCTTCAGAAACATCTCAAACATGTTACGAATTGATGTCAGTTATCAGTTAATGCATGCTGACACCAGGGCCTTCATCTACACACACATCGTAGAGCTATTTTCACTTCTTGGAACCCTTTATTAGGTGCAGCCACTTTGGAAACAGCTTGTTAAAGTAAAAGTAAAGGCTTATTAAACAACCTGCTGCCCTACTTCCTAGGTATTTGCCTGAGGGGGCAGTGGGGGGAATGCACTCATAAAAGATGAATGTGAATGAACATTTCCAACAGCTTTACTCATGATAAACTGAAAACAATCCAAACATCCTTCAACAGAAGCCTGAGATACAGACATGTAATACATCCATCCATTCAATAGGATACCACTCAGCAATGAGAAGCAACAAACCAGGATTGCAATAAGCGAAAGATGCAGACAGACAATGCAGCCTGCGTGTGACACCACTTCTGTGATGTTCAAGAAGATGCAAAACTTGGGGATTAATCAATGATTGCCAAAGGTTTGTGGTGGCTGGGAAGAAAGGACAGAGGACAGGGGCCCCAGGGGATTGGGGGGTGATTAAAGTATCTATATTCAAAAATACAATGTAAATAATTATATAAAGTGCTCTATTCATGGTTCTTTTACAAGTGAATAAATTTGGCCAAATTCATCAACTGAATACCTCAAAATGTGAATATGATTTACACTATAATAAATCTGAATTTCAAAATAAAAGAAGTAGTCACACATTTTCAAGTTTCTTCCGGTGCTCCAAATCAAACAACTCCTCAAGTTTGAAGAGACTTGAAGGAATTTTAAGAGCTGCCCAGTCTGAACACCTGCAAGAAGTGGTAAATTCAGGACCTCTCATGCTGGGCCCTTTATCTTCTGTCGCTCCACCAGGGTGTCCTTTACTTACCCATTTATCAGTACCTATATAAAGATCCATACCTGTATTATAGAGATACAGGTGTGTGAGCATGCACACACACACACAGACACACAGACACACTCCCCCCACTTATAGCTGCCATCATCACAGACGGACTTGGATTTTAATTTAAACTGGAGGCACTCAGCAGCACAGTGTGTGCCTTCAAAGCCTACAGCAAGAGCTGGCTCCTGGGCCCACGGCACACACCAAGCAGGGACACAGCCCATCCACTATCTGCGGTCCAGGACATCTAGTGTGGAGTGTCTGGAGGACAGCAGGGGGGAGCCTATGGCCTCTTCGAGCCCCACCAAGGAAGGAACGAGCTCCCTAGTGAGTACATCGGTGGCACCATACCTACCAAGTGAGACCACCAGATGGGCCACCCCCAGCAAGTTCCACAACCCAATGTGTCACCACCCCAACCAAGCCAGTGTCTGTACACATGCACATCACTGCACAATGGGAGCCAAGAGGGAAGATTCTAAATTAAACAAAGGGCCAGAATGATAGCACAGTTGGTAGGGAAGGTGCTTGCTTCACACATAACCAACCTGAGTTTGAACTTCACAGGGTCCCCCGAGCCTACTAGGAATGATTCCTGAATGCAGAGCTGCGGGAAGACCTGAGCAACAGGTGTGCCCCAAAACCAAAACCAACCAACCAAACAACAAAAAAACTCCACAACAAAGGTGGTATGTGACATGACCTAGCTTTCCGGTCCCTTGTTCAATATCCCCTAAAAGAACTTAAACTTTGAACCCTCTTATTTGGTTCCACAAAACCAAGGCATCTGGTCAAGTCCTCCCTTTCCCAGCACTTCCCAATGCACTTTGCCACCTTGTATGGGAAATACCCTAGGTTTGACCCCTGCATCACAACGCATCCATCAATACCATCAGTGACAGTCTTCCTGGTAAGGGTCCCATGTCTAAATAGAAAAGAAAAAGCACTTTCAAGCCTAGGGCTCAACTATGAAAAGGGGCAAAGAGAGAAACAGGCTCCCGGCAATTAAGATCCTGTGATGATGGTAGGGCCCCCAGGAGTGGTACCTCGCTCAGCTAGCTTACAGTGCTAATTACAAGCTTAGCATTCCAAAAGGAAATGTATGTGCCTAAATCTGTTGAACTCAATTCATCTGGCAAAAATGTTCTTTTTTCAGGGGCCAGAAAGCTAGTACTGGGGTTAAGGGCCTTGCCTTGCATTGGGTCAAGGTCTCATCCCTGGCACCCTATATGGTCACCCCAGCCCTGCAAGCAGTGATCCCTGAGTTGAGAGCCAGGAGTAAGCCATGAGAATGGCCAGGTGTACCCCACATCCCCCTCCAAATGAAAGGAAAAAAACGTTTCTTTTTTATTTTTTTCCCCTCTTACCCCTTTAAGTCTCTTAGCTGCTGGAGCCTACCGTAGCAATCACTTATCCTGAAGCGACTTCCCAAGGACTGAGATTGCTCTAAATAATCCTAGCAAAGATGAACTTGGCCAGAGCATGACTCACACATGTGCCTATCAGTTTTAAAATGTCAACAGGAAACTGCTTTTTGTCCTGCCTGCTTTTGGCAGTACCGGGGATGAACCCAAGGCCCCAAAGATGCCAGCCAGCACTACTCTGGAGCAACCCCACACCCACCCAGCATCTTTATTAAATTCTGTTTCCTCTCCTCCCAGGATGGGAGATGCTTGTTGAAAGTAGACTATGGACCGAACACGACTGCCACTCAATGCCTCTTTTGCAGACCACAATACCCAAAAGGAGAGAGAGAACAAAAGGGAATGCCCTGCCACATAGGCAGGGTGGGATGGGGGGGATGGGGGTAGGAGGGATACTGGGATCCGTGGTGGTGGAAAATGGGCATTGGTGGAGGGATGGGTATTTGATCATTGTATAATGGAAACCCAAGCAAAAAAAAATTGTAAATCTTCAACTGTACCTCATGGTGTTTCACTAATAAAAATTTTTTAAAAAATTCTGTTTCCTCTTTAAGGATGGAGAGCCATACAGGCAACTGTGCCAGCGCAGTCTCACAGATGATGTGCGTAACAAAGCCGGCTGTGTGATGTATTTCTAGCAGTTTAAATCCATCGTGCAAGACAAGCGACGTCACATTTACAGTGAACCCTGATGTATGTATGAGGCAGCGCTGCTCCTTTCGGTCACTACCTGTCATTCTCCTGGTGCACTGATACAGAAGCAGAGCTTTTTGCAAATTATTGCACAATCTTGAGAGCTTCATATTTTTACTAACATTGCTTGGAAACCAATCACTCTCACTTAACCTCAGCGGAAGAATAATCCTTCAAATCTCCTTTATCTGACAACAAAAACAAAATAATCTACCCAACCAAAAAGTAAATATTTCAGCTATAAAAATGTTAGCATATGCAAATCATCTGATTTCTCTCCTGAAAAAAAAACACCTGTAGTTACAGCACACACATTACTTACAATATACTGACATTTTACATTCATGTTTATGCACGTCTTAAAAACACTGCAATATTCTGTTCATATAACCGTTAACAAACAGAAAAGGCAATATATAACTCACCAAGCTAAATCCCAGGTGTCACTGTACAACTTCCAATGAGTCCCAAGGGAACACAGGCATAATAATTTCTCTGCTCTACGCCAGATACTAAACACGAAACATAAAAATAAACCTTTAATTTAACAAATAACACAATTTAGAAAGCAATTATACCAATTCTAGCTGCAGAACAGGATGAAGCTAGAAGAAAGTACTAACATGGGGCACGGGTTATCATCCGACACAATATCCATTCACTTAGTTCAAGTAATTTTGAGTTTGCACAGCAAAATGAAATCCCAAACACTCTATCCCAACTATGCCTCTGGATTCCACTGTTTAAACACTCCCTGGGTTAAAGAGGGACAAAAGAAGCGGGCATTCCATAGGAGGACCATCAGCCTCCCATTCTTCATTCATTCAACAGGAGTATACAGAAGATCATTCTGCACACAGGTCACAGAAACAACTGCACATCTTCACCTTACTGCCAATTCTGCCTCTTGACTTTGCATAGCCAGCGGCCTTGAAATTTAGGACAATACCATGCACCCTCGGACAGCTGCTCCAGTGAGGAAAGAGGTGGATGAGTATGTTTTCCTGACTGCATGGCCCTTTGCAGATGTGGGATGCTACTATTTTACAATTAAGTGATGCAATGTTTTTATTTTAGCCATAAAAAAGCAACTATTACCCAAAAATAAATAAATAAGCACTGCACTGCACTCCTGTTTTTCATCAATTTGCTTGAGCGAGCCCAGTAACATTCTCCATTGTGAGACTCGTTCTTACTGTGTTTGGCATATCGAGTACATCACGGGTAGCTTGCCAGGCCTTGCCGTGGGGGCAAGATACTCTGGGTAGCTTGCCGGGCTCTCCGAGAGGGGCTGAGGAATCAAATTCAGGTCAGCCAAGTCGGTGGCATGCAAGGTAAACGCCCTACTGCTGTGCTACTGCTCCAGCCCAAATAAATAAATAACTTGGAAAAAAAAGTAAGAATTCCAAAAAGACATCTTTTGGGTTGGCATGTTTTGCTCTAGCTTTCTCTTAGCTAGGGAGACAATGTGTAAAAAACTCCATCTTTACCCCACCCTCCCCAGCTAATTGCACCCATTTCTGAAACCAAGCAAACTCCCCAAAGTCTTCTCCATCAGAGAGGCTGCTGGTTGGGTTGGGTTTCCGTTGCTACCTTCAGAGGGGAGAGGGGAGGGACACAGAGGGGTGTGGCCTTGCCTCCAGTGACTGCCTCATTCCCTGCAGTTGCAAAGGGACACAGGCCCCAGGAAGCAGCAACAGGAAAACAGAGACAGCAAAAGGAAGGAAGGCAGGGTGTTGCCACTTCGGGCCTGCCCTTACCTGTATAAGTGGATCCCCAGGAAACACCTGACTACTCAACAGCAATCCCTGACTCAAGGAACTGCAAGAGCTACTAATGACGGAAATCTGTGAGAAGCCAGCAGGCGCCAGCCTAGAACTCATAGACTGAGATGACAAGACCCCCTTCCTATCATTTTGTTAAGAAAATATTCACAAATTGAACAACCAAAAGAGAGTGGGGGGGGGGGGGGAGCTAGACAATTAAATCTGGTTCTACTCTACACTGGAAGCTTCTGGTTTTAGCAAAAAGTGATTCTTCTTCTAATTACCCCCCAAAGAAATTCCCTATACCAGTTTTACAATCAGTTCAACATGTTTTTTATTTAAATGAATGTATTGAAAAAAAGAAATTTTTTAAACTATTTCTAGAACCTCTGAATGTCTATCACTTAACCTGTCTCCACGTGGAAACTATTTTTCCTGTTTTATAGTCCTGTCCTCCCGTTGTCCATAGATTAGCTCGAGCGGGCCCAGTAACATCTCCATTGTGAGACTTGCTGTTACTGTGTCTGGCATATCGAATACATCATGGGTAGCTTGCCAGGCTTTGCCGTGCGGGCAAGATACTCTTGGTAGCTTGCCGGACTCTCCAAAAGGGGCAGAGGAATCGAACCCCGATTGGCCGGGTTGGCTGCGTGCAAGGCAAACGCTCTACCCACTGTGCTATCGCTCCAGCCCCTGTTTTATAGTAAACTAAGTTATTGCAGATATTCCTACATTAACTTGAACTTGGGCTGGAGCGAAAGCACAGTGGGTAAGACATTTGCCTTGCATGCAGCCAACATGGCCGACCCAGGTTCAATTCCTCTGTCCCTCTCGGAGAGCCTGGCAAGCTACCGAGAGTATCTTGCCCACAGGCAAGCTACCCATGATGTATTCAATATACCAAAACCAGTAACAACAATTCTCACAATTTGTTGTGCGGCATTACTGGTGCCTGCTCGAGCAAATCGATGAACAACAGGAGGACAGTGCTGCTGCTGCTGCTGCTAACTTGAACTTTATTTTGAATTAAACAAATTAAACTTTATTGAACCCCAACCCAACTGACTATACTGACTGTACTGACTGTACACTGCCTGTTTCATACTAACCTCCTAACCTCTACTCAGTGATAAGGCTGGGTGTGTCGCTTTTTATACAATGATTATGTTCCTGAAAAAGGAATATTCCTATCAGGTAGAATATTATTTAAAATGTGTGGGGAGGCAGTTTATTAAACTTTCCGTCTCACTTGTGCAATGGCTAGTTTCATCCAACTTGAAACATGTTAGGAGCCTGGAACTGAAGCTAGAACAGCAGGTAGGCCACTTGCCTTGCATGCCATCGACCAGGGTTTGATCCCTAAACCACATATGGTCCCCCAAGCCCCAACAGGAGTAAGTGATGTCTGAGCACAGAGCCAGGAGTAAATCCTAAGTACCACTAGGTGTGTCCCCAAAACCAAATTTTAAAAAGTGTATTCTTACACAATACAGTAGAAAGTCACGTACAAAATGTAAAGTCACAAGCTCTTTCTCCTACAAGAGTGTAAGATTTTTTTAATCAATCATAAGTTACCAGGCAGGGAAAATTGTATCAACAACACTCTACAGATATATTGTTGGATACCAAATATAGTCAGATGAGTGAGGAAGACCCGAGTTGCACTTTGAGGCTAACCACCTAAAACCATCACTGTCATCGTCACTGTCCTCCAGTTGTTCATCAATTTACTCAAGTGGGCCCAGTAACGTCTCCACTGTGACACTTGTTACTGTGTTTGCCATATCGTATACGTCACAGGTAGCTTGCCAGGCTTTGCCATGAGGTTGAGATACTCTCGGTAGCTTGCCAGGCTCTCCGAGATGGGTGGAGGAATCGAACCTGGGTCGGCCAGGTTGGCCGGATCAGCCGCGTGCAAGGCAAACACCCTACCCACTGTGCTATCGCTCCAGCCCTAAAAACACATTAGAAAATCTGAATGCTTTATTCATCAAGAAAGAAGTTCGTTAAAACTTGAAAATTTCTTCAAACTCTTGTATAATCTATATCATGTAATTTGGTGACAAATTCTTTCTTTCACGTGAACTGTCTTTCCAAATATTATTTCTCAATAACAACAGCAAAATCAACTTAGTAGATTCTGAATTGGAAAACAAAATCCTTAAACTAATTATCCAAACCCTGGCTTCTTAACAGTGTGGAAGTCCAGGAATCAGTGGGTGATCCCCAAGTGAACAAAGGGGAGTGACAGATCACCCCAAGCCAGTGCCAAGCCCCACACAGCAACACAAGCAGGCATCCCAGGAGCAAAGGGGAAACCACGGACAGATGCTTCTCTCCATCCCTCTTTCTGCTCACTCGAACTTGCTCCTGTCTCCATGCCTAGGTGCTGAGAAAAGGATAATGGTAAGGAAACTGAGGGTAGGGGGATTGTAAATGAGAAGAGCAAAGACAGAAGAATTTGGGATGGTTGGAGGAAAGATACCACAGCAAGCAGGGCACTGCCTTGCATGCGGTAGACCCAGGTTTGATCCCTGGCACCCCATAAGGTCCCTTCTGTGCCTTCCCCCCACCAGAGTTCGCCCAAGAGTGAGCTCAAAGCCAGAAGTAAACTCTGAGCATCAGTGGGTGTGGCTCCAAACAATTTTAAAATGGAAGAACATAACTTAGTTCGTAACAGATTGCCTATAAAGGAATACAGTGAAAAAAGTATTGTAAAGGCTTTACTCGGTCTATTAGAAACCATTACAAGACTGTCATCTGAATGCCCCCAAATACAGACCTTCTAAGCTACGCTTTGATAATACTTAAAAACGACCTACAAATCTCAGATACTTGCAATGGATTCTGGCCATTGTTTTGAAAATGAAGACTTGGCAAGATTTGGATGAATTTCCTTTCAAAAGTTGTCAGCAAGAGGGAAAGAAAGTCACATGAAATCCTTACAAGATAGATTAAATGCTACAAAGAGGAACCAAAAACACAACACCTAAGAAACAACAGCAAAAGTCAGAATATGTAAGACTGTTAGCTATAAGCAGCTGAGACAGACAGAAAGCCTGTGACAGTACCCTGTCAGCACTACAAGAGCACTAAATCAAGCCTTGCCCAGAGCTGCCCACAGACCTCTGGAAAGGGAAAAGAAGCCACGGGTGACTAAGCAAAAGACACCCAGCATTTAACTGTAAATGAAGCTTCTACAAATAGAAAAGTTTGCAAACATTAACTCGCAAGCGTGTCAAATTTCTCAGGCAAGGTGACAGATGCCATCACGGGGAAATCAAGAAGAATGTCCTTCAAAAGTAGATCATATGTCTTGGTGAGTAGGTACTGTGCCCTGGCACAATTATTAACAGCACCCCGTCATCACTCAAAAGTGACCCAGTTTGGTGACCATACTATATTCCTCGTCGAAAGAAGCAGCTGGCAGTGCCAGGGATTGCAAAGGTGAAGGAATTGAGGGCGGGAAGAGAGGTTGATCCACTCACACAGAGGATTCCCACACAGATCCGGTAAGGATATCCTTGGGTTCCTCCATCCTCAGCAGTTCATTCATTCATTCACTTAACCATTTGGTCACTGGACAATATTTCTTCAGTCTTACCATGCCCCAGCCAGCACTGTGCAAACACTTTGGTGTAGTAAATATAATAATAACAATAACAATAATAATAAACCTCAGGCCTGAGCTACTGTACAGCAAGTAAGGTGCTTGCTTGCTTTGCACTTGGCCAACCCAGGTTCAATTATCTGCATCCCATATGGCGACCTAAGTCCCCCAGGAGTCATTTCTGAGCACAGAGTCGGGAGTAATCCCTGAGTACCTCCAGGTGTGGCCCTCCAAAAAACAATCAAACAAACAATGAACCTGGAGACTAGGCCTGAAGCCAAGAGAGGCATGGGCATCTAAGTCTCTGGACAATGAGATACAACATCAAACCTGAACCACACAGAGATTGGACAGAGGGACGTGGGCTCCAGGTGCAATGATCCACGCCCACAGAACACATCCACATGCACAAACTCACACAAAGCCCGAAATCTCAGGCTGCAGCCTAAATAAAATATCCATAAGAAAAACACTTAACAAAACCTGCCAAAAGGCCAGCACACAGCTCCTGTGAATTGGGGTAAAGAAATCTGACAAGTCACTGAATATCAAATTACTTTTTTAAAAGGATAAATTTCAGACAAAGAAAATAGGGGAGTTTTTGAGTTCTAATTCCAGCACCCAAAACACAAAAGTGGGGAAACCCCAGTGTTTTTCACAATGTCTATTTAAGGAGAGACTGAAAAAGGGGAAAAAAGCCAAAGCAGTTCAAAAAATAAAACCATTTTTTAAGTTCCATTCATTTCATGAAGATATTCCGCAATCTCTCATCTAAAAGATACCTCTAAATTTAAAAACTACATGTCAGAACTAGAGTACAAAGGCAAACCCATGTTCAATGCCCTGCACCTCGCTGGGTTCACAGAACATTGCCAGGAGTAATGCCTGAGCACAATCAGGAGTCAGAACTAAGCACCGCTGGGTGTGGCCTCCAAACAAAACAAAACAAAAAGTAAACTCCCCAGTTCTATCAAGTCACAAAACACCGCGTTAAAACGCCAAGGGAAACCCAGCAAACGGTTGCCCCCTCCACACTCACAGAGGGCGTACTTGAAAAGAATTTCCCTTTATCCTTTGCAACTCATAAAAACGAAAGCATCCATCAGTTTTGAGTCCTTAGAGGGGTGTGACGTTTCCGAAACCATCCTTGACCTTACAAACAAACCATTAACCTCACCAGTGCGGTTAGGCAACCCATGATTAGTGCAGGAAGACCAAACTGGGTGTCGCGCTGACACCGGGCTCTGTGAGCGCCCGTCAAGGGCGCTGTTCATTTTCCATTTCTGCTCTGCAGAAGTGAAAGCAAGATTACCAGCGTCTCATCATTCCGGGACATCGTCTTCTACTTTTAGCAAACATCCAGCTCTGCTACAGAGCTGACTCCGAGGGGCTCTGGCGGGGGTTCCCTGCGGTCTCGACAGGAAATCGGCCGCTTCGGAAGCGTAACTGAAGGGGGACAGGTGTCCACCGAGGCGCCTGCCGCTGATTCTGATATATTTTGATAGAGACAATACAGAGGCCTGGCGGGGAGAAAAGAGCTCATTCTCCCTCCGAGGCCACACATCGGCACAGAAAGCTCAACCCCCAGATAGGAAGTTTCTTCGTTGCATGCCACCACGTAATAACTTTCAGCACTGGAGTTTGCCTAGCTCTGCTGAGCGTCTGCAGGATGGCGCAGAGCAGGGAAACGCTCCCCCGCCGTCCTGTGACGCCTGCACCTGATGTCCTGGAGCTCAGCACTCAGCCATCGCCCCTGCAGTGACAGGGCTCGGCAGCTGAGGCGAGCAAATATCCCTGCATCCCTGAACCAAGCAAGCCGTGCCTGGGTCCATGCACCCCCAGACGCCCGGGTCCTTTCAAGTTTCCAATGCACGCGGTGCCATCACAAAGCACCCGGGAAATCTGTGCACCGGCCCTCCGACACGACTGGGAGTGCTTCAGGTCGCAGTCCCCAAGCGCGGCACCCCCAAAGCGCTGGCCCAGACCTCGCACGAGGTCGGCGTGGGAGCAAACTCTGGACAGGGCCCCGTTGTCCCCAACGGCCCCCTAAGCTGTGACATGCAGGGCTCGACCCACAGAGGGAGCAACCAACAGGTCCCCCGTGCACAACGTCCATAAAGGAGTCGGGGACGTCAGGCACGTTGTGCAAGAGCCCTCCGGTGGCCGCCGCCTCCTGCAGGCCCTCCCGCACCCGCCAGGTCCCCAAGCTCGCTGGGCCTCGGGGCCAGGCCCCCGCCCCCGCGCCCCTCCCCGCCGGCCCGGAGCCGGGACCCGCTCGCGCCCTGGCAGCTGCATAATGGGGACCCCCGCTCCCGGCCCGGCTCCCGGCCTCCGATCCCCGCCCCGGACCCCGCCCCGGACCCTTCTCCTGGCCCGGGCCCCGCTCCCGGCCCGCACTGCAGCACGGCCTCCCGGCCCGGGTTCGACGCGGCGGGCGCCCCAAGCAGCGGCTCCCCGGCCCGGCCCGGCCCCGCGCGCCCGCCCGCCGCCCCCCCCGCGCCCCCCGGCCGCTGCCCCCGCCTCGCCCAGCCCCCTCAACGGCCGGCCCCCCCCGCGCGCCCCGCGCGCCCCAGCCGCGGCACGGCCCCACCCCGCGCCGGCGAGCCGCGGGCTCCCCGCACCCCGCCAGGCCGCGCCCAGAGCCCCACCGCCGCCACCCGCCGGCCCCGCCGGGCGCCCGGACCCAGGCCGGGAGCGGGGGGCGGCGCCGCGCGGGGTCGGGCTTCCCGCCGTCCCCACGCCCGCCGCCCCCGGTCGCGGCACAAAGGCGGCGGGCGGCCCCCGCCCAGCGACCTACCGAGGCCCGGGGCCCGCGGGGCCCGCCAGCAGCCGGGAGCAGCGCCGCCGCGGCGCGAGTGCGGGCCAGGCCGCCACCAGCCGCGCTCCCCGCGCGCTCGCCCCGCGCCCGCCGCCGCGCCGCCCCAGGCCCCGCCTGCGCCCGCCCCGCGACGTGCACCGCCCCCTGCGCCCGCCCGCGCCCGCCCCGCGCCCGGGCGGTGGCCGCACAGAAAGGCCGGGGCGGGGCCCGCCGTCGCGCACACGCGCACCCCCTCCAACCGGAACGCGCGCGCGCCCCTCCAACCGAAACGCGCGCGCGCCCCACTCCCAAGCAAACGCGTGGGCACCTCCCCGCGCTCCAAGTGACACACACACCCCACTCCGGCTGGAAGACGCAGCATTACGCACCCGCAGTGCCCGCTCCGAACGAACAGACACCCCCAGTCCAACTGAAGCACACCCCCAACTGAAAAACACGTGGCCGCACGCACCCCACTCGAACTGAAACGCACGCCCAAACACACGCCGCTCCACCTGAAACATGCATGCATGCACACCCTACTCCAAATGAACCGCACTCCACACCCAATGAAACACGTGACCACACAGCACTGCAAAGGAAGCTTGCCTCCACTCAAACCGAAATACCCTTACACAGCCCACTCCAAAGAAGCAGACATCCTCCTACAGATGAAACACACCCCAACTGAAAAACACACCCTACTCCAACTGAAAAATACACCCTACTCCAACCGAGGCGCCTTGCACAGTCCACTCCAAATGAAACACATGAACACTGCTCTAGCTGAAACACACAGCCGGTCCACTCCACATGACCACATGAAACACACCATTCCAACTGAAATACCCTCCAAAGGAAACACAGGTGCTGGCACATATGCACACATGCACACACACACACACACACACACACACACACACATACACACACGCACACCAACTGGAACACACAAACACCTAAATCCTTGAACTTGCAGGCCTAGCCTCATTTGGGCTCCCACAGTTAAGTGATTTTGTGGTAATTGTCATATGCGTCTCTGCTGAAAGTTACAAACACTAAGCACTAGCAATGAAGACACAGTTTTCTAAGTTTACAATCTTCAAAAACTGCTATAAATCTAGTAAAAGGTGGGTGTGTGAAAGATTCAGATTATGATTGGATTAGCTGCTCTTGAATCTGCCAACTTGATCTTTTCCATTCTTGTAAGTTCCTTTGAGGCACCAGAGATATAGTACAACTGATAAGGAACTTGTCTTGCATGGGGCTAATCTAGTTCAACCCTCAGCAGCACATACATTTCCTCACCCCCACCACAGCACCACCAGGAATGATCCCTGAGTGGGCTGAGTGTGATCCAAATTCCTCAAAAGAAAGAATTTTCAGGATAGAGTGATATTACCGTGGGTAGAGCACTTGCCTTGAATGCAACCAACCTGGGTTCGATTCCAGCAACCCATATGGTCTCCCCGGCCCACCAGGAGTGACCCCATAGTACAGAGCCAGGAGGCAGCCCTGAGCAACACTGGGTGTGGCCCAAACACAAAAACAAAAACATTTTATTTGATCAAGCTTTTCTATTCTCAGTCCATCCTGTACATCCTGCCAAACCAATCAATACAGTAATAAAAGGTTTAATAAGAATATTAGCTACTTGTGTTTACTCCACTTTGTGTCCAGCCTTCTTTTCTACATTTCCAAGTTATATCTCTCAGAAATTCTGTGAAGGAACAAGACAGCAGAACGTTTCACTTCCTTGTTGTTAAGGGGTGTAATGTGTTGGTGACTGAGCTGATTTTGAACCTAGGCAACAGAATAACAGAGTTGTCTTGTAACAGGTGCTAATTTATGCACTGTCTCAATCCAAGAGAATTTATCCTTGTTTTTAACAAAACGCTGTATCTGAGCATAAGAGGCATCAAGTTGGGATAGAGACATACAACCTGGAATAGATCTGGCTTCAGACATGTCTCAGGGCCTATACAGACACAGCTAATGTGAAGGCAAAGACATGACCCATGATCCACGCTGGGCACCAGGGAACAGCCTCAGCCAGGACACACTAATTCCTCTCTCTGTGTCCTGAAGTAAGTAGGGCAAGGTAGAGGGAGACAGAAACTTTTTTTTCCTTAAATTTTAATTAGTGAGACACCATGAGGTACAGTTGTAGACTTACAAATTTTTGTGCTTGGGTTTCAATTATACAATGATCAAATACCCATCCCTCCACCAGTGCCCATTCTCCACCACCACCAGTCCCAGTATCCCTCCCCCCCCTTCCCCCAATCCACCATCCCACCCTAGCACTGTGGCAGGGCATTCCCTTTTGTTATCTCAGGAGACAGAAACTTTTGACATTCTCTAAAAACATATTTAGAAAACAAATTATTTTATTTCAACTTTCCAAGTATGCAACTTCTCAAGTGCAGAATTTAGCATGTTACAGTATGCATTAAACGAATAAAAAATGAACTTGGAGGGTATCAATTCTTTAAAAGAACACAAAGAGTTATTTCAATTTGCATCTGCTTGACAGGATCATGTTCTGATGGTCATTCTTTTAAAAAACACCCCCCAAAACAATGATTATTCAGAAACTTTAGTTTCAAGCCAGAGCAATAGTACAGCGGGTAGGGTACTTGCCTTGCCATGTCCCAGTTCAATTTCCCAACACCCCCAAATGGTCCCCCAAGCTCGCCAGAGTGACCCCTGAATGCAGAGCCAGAAGGAAGCCCTGAGCACAGCCAGTTGTCACCCAAAAGACCAAAACCAAAACCAAACAAAAGATATTTGAAGAAACTTAGTTTCATTTAGTCTCCTTGAAATAACCTTATCAAAAGTATGTCTTGTACTTGTCCTTTGCCCTGAATACCAGGCACTGTTCATCCCACAAAACCAATAAACGTCTGATTTGCCTTTGAGTTGATGGGGCTCAGAGCTAGGCCTGTGGTGGAGCACTGTGCCCCCCCACCCCCATGGGTGAAGCTTCAGGCTCCACACCCGGCCCTGACTCTTCACCCAATCAGAACTGCCTTCAATTCTTGGCTGGTCACTGATAATAAACAAATTGAACATGCAACTCATGAATGATAAGAGCTTTATGTGTGGTCCCTCCGTGATGAGTTTATGACATTTGAGGACTCCAAGGCAGAAGTTAAATTGGAGGTGACTCACTACTAGACTGAAAGGCAGTGCTCAGGGGATGTTGGAGGTGGAAGTGATACAAAAGTCCTTCCACGAGCTTTCATCTGTTCTATGAAGATAGAGTCCACCTATTAAAAGAAGCATGCTTCTAAAAATGAGGCGTCGAAACAGAATAACCGTGATCTCAAAGGTCCTCCAAGTCTCAGAACTGCCACATTCCATCTGCAGTGTCCCTGGTGGCAAACTAAATCTCTGCCACAAGCGGTGCTTCCTCTCCCCAGAATCATTTTAAAAAGTGGTGAGGAGGAATTTTATGTGGATTTTTTCGGTCAAAAGCCTGCTTGAGAGAGCTGGGCAGATAAACGTGGTTCCAGCACCAGGCTGTAATAAAGCAAATGCGTGGAGCTGGAGCAATAGAACAGTGGGTAGGGCAATTGCCTGGCACACCGCCCACCTGGGTTCGATCCCCCAGCACCCCGTACATTCCCTAACACCTCACCAGGAGGGATGTCTAAGTGCAGAGTTAGGAAGCCCTGAGTACCTACAAGTGTGACTCGGAACACCGAAAAGCAAACAGCAGCCACAGGCTCAAGCGTGCAAGGAATCTGACTTCTTTCTACAGACCCACTTGGGTCCAGCAAAGAGGAGCTACAAGGGAAAGGAGAAGCTAAAGCACATCAGCAGAGACAACAGCAGGCATAGACAGGGGTGCATGGAAGAGCTCAAAACCAAAAGGCGAGGGTGATGTACCCCAAATCAGCAAGCAGTGACCAGGAAATGGCAAGACTAAGGGGAGGGAAACAGCTTAGGAAAGGTCGGGGTGACCAGGAACCGCGAGAGCCGGGAAAAGGGAGAGGCCGAGAGTCTCCTCTCCTGCCTCCCCAGCCACACCAGACCCAGATGCCAGCTGCCGCTGTCAGCAGAGGTCAGCCCTGGACAATAGGGTGGAGATGGGACAGAATGAGAGGCTGTGAGAGACGGACCCAGCTTTTCTTCCGCTTTCGGCTGTTTCGAGTGTTCCCTCTGCTTGTCTGGTGGGTAGTATCCTGCGTCCCTGGAATCTGCCAGGCCTGGGTGTGCGGGGAGGGCAGGCCACGGGAGGCCCTCAGGCCGTGCTTTGCTCCTCCACGGAGGCTTCAGTTGTCTTTGCCCAGAGTGGCCACATCCAGCCCCCGAATACAGCACACAGCAAGCCCGTGCATGGGTGTGCTGTGCTCCTGCCGGGGGCCACCTCTCTCTGTCAGAACTCTGCCCAGGACCAGGTCCGGGTACCAAACATCAGCAAGTCACTGGTCCTTAGGGTCCCAGGCATTCCCATCATTCAGAGCTGTGAGCCCCTGCCCCAAGTTACACTTTGCTCTCTTCTTTCCCAGGCCAGAGATTCATTTTCAATGCGGTTTTGTGGGGAGGGTCCACACCTGCCGAAGCTCTCTGGCCACTGCTGTCAGGGCTCTGGGGCCCATGCAGGGATGTGGATCGAACCCAGCCAGCTGAATGGAAGCAGGACCCTGCTCGCTGCCCTATTTCTCTGGCTCCGAGCCCAGTCTCTGTCTTTGCCAAGGAACTCATCTCTCTCGGAGGTGAAGGCATTTGGCAAGGAAACACAGAGAAATGATATTTTACAACCCTGTTGTGTCTTATCACATTATGACCCAAGTTCATCAGAGAGAACAAAGTGGTAAGTACAGAATGATAAAAAAATTCTTAACGTTTCAAAATAGTACCAAGCCTGGAAAAGTAAGAGAAGATGAGAACAGGCCTGGAGAGGGAGGATGAAAAGGAGGAAGAGTAAGAAAAAGAGGAAGAGAAAGAGGAGAAAGACCCTCTCTCTCTCTTCTTTTATTCCTTATCACTCCTTCTCTCTGCCTCTCTCTTTCTTCCCCTTTCCCCCGCTCTGCCCCTCCCTTCCTCTTTCTCCCTCCTCCTCCCACTCTCTGGCCCTCTTTCTCCATCTCCTGCTTCAGTTCCTTTGCTT